GGAGCTCCAAGTGGTGGACGTGCTTCTCCACCTCCTCCTTGAATCCCTTTAACAACCCCTTTAACAATCCCTTCCACGGTAAGTTAGGCTGGGAGTCGGTGAATGGCCTGAGTCCACATTCTGCGACCTTCATCCCCGGCTGCGGATTTGAACCGTGCTCTCTCCCAGGTCCTAGCCTGACCCTCAAACCACTTGGCAACATTGCCTCTCTGCTGGAAAGGAGATGGGACATTCTACCTAGGCAGAGAATGGGGTCTTAATGGACGTGGGCGGCTGCCCCATCTTGGGAAGAAAATGTCAAGAGATGCAAGTCCAGGAATCTGGGTGGATGAGCTCAGAAAAGTCCTGGGAGTTCCTGAGACCTTGATATAATAATAATAATAATTAATAATAATAATAATAATAAATAATTTCCTTTGGATCTGCTATTTCCGAGGTGGTTTCCCGGATTACATTTTGGGGAGGTGTGTTGCTGCTGGCTTGGCTGATAGAGCTTTTCAGTGGCCGCCCACCGAGAGGAAAATCGCGTTTCCTTTCCCCCCACTGAGATTTAATCTCTGCGTGGGAATCAGAATAGCCCTTGAACGTTGATTTGAAGCATCCTTCCCACAGGCAGAAAAGCTTTAAAATGGGAGCGATGCTTCCTGTATCTCCGTGTGTGTAGCGATCTATTTCGTAAAGTGAATAAGGTGCGTTTCAATGCTTCCCCCCCCAAGGCTGGCTGCTACATGGGGCAGCTTCACTCTGCATTTATGGCCTGGTGATTTATGGCTTCTGATGTGGGATCTGAACTTTGCTGGATAAAGCCAAATACCCATCTAATCCAGCATTTTTCTGGCGTCACAGGGGCCAACCAGATGCCACAAGCAGGATTTGAGCACTAGAGCAATTCTCCCCTCCTGGGGTTTCCTGGGAACGGGATTCAGAAGCATCGCTGTGTCTGACTGTGGCGGCAGCGCATAGCCATTGTGGCCAGGAGCCATCGATAGCCCTCTCCTCCCTGAATTTCTCTTCATTTTTAAAGCTATCTCGATTGGCCTCACTGTCTCTTGTGGGAGGGAGTTCCACAGTTGAACTAGATAGTAAGGTAAAGGACCCCTGGATGGTTAAGTCCAGTCAAAGGCGACTATGGGGTTGCAGCGCTCATCTCGCTTTCAGGCCGAGGGAGGCAGCGTTTGTCCGCAGACAGCTTTCTGGGTCGTGGTCTGGAGCACGTGCTTCTGGAGCAACGGGACATTTGTGACGGAATCCAGAGCGCACGGAAACGCCGTTTACATGTTTTTTGTTTTTTATTATACTTTTCAGATTAATATGTTCCATCAAATTTACAATCACCTTAACATTTCAAAACTTGACTTCCTTTCCCCTTTCCGTGGCTCCTTAAATTTATTTTTAATACCTTCTGCATATCCAAATCAACTTAATTTGCTCATTTATTCATCCATTTTAATTATATACTCTTATAAAACTGCAGGTTGTTAACAATAATCCTGCTGGTGTTTTTATCTGTTTACAATTTATCTGTAAATATTCAATAACCATTTCCATTCTTTTATAAAAAGTTCGTTATCTTGACTTCTTATTCTTCCGGTAAGTTTTGCCATTTCTGCATATTCCATAAGTTTTTGTATCCATTCTTCCTTTGCTGGGACTTCTTTCCATTTTTGGGCAAGCAACATTCTTGCTGCTGTAGTAGCAGACATAAACAAATTTCTATACAAGTTTAGGTAGTTCTCTCCCTAGAATTCCCAAAAGAAAAGCTTCTGGTTTTTTTTTTAACAAAAGTTATTTTAAACATCCTTTTCAATTCCTTATATATCATTTCCCAGTAAGCTTCAACCTTTCTACAAGACCGTGCTGTTTATAGTTTATGTGCTGCATGAAGAACTTTTACCTGTCCTGACTCTTCCAGCTTCATTGGACTCAAGTTCCCACATTACGAGGGAGGGTGAAAAACTACCCACTTAGTGCCATGCATAACGTAATCCTCAATTGTGTCGCCTTTTCCTTGCCCGTCCTCCACCTATTTCTCAGAGCAGCAACTGGTATGCCTCATTTGATGGAGCCCAGACGAAGTTTTCTTTTTTCCCTTTTAAAAATAATTTTTATTAAATTTTCTGTTTTACAATTTAGAATATTCATTTAGACAACCTTAAAATATCAATGACTTCCCTTCTTCTCTTTCCATGGTTCATTTAGCATAGTATAAATCCCTGCATATTTTATATAAACCATTCAGTCTTCCATTATTGCATCCATCAAAACTTATTTACACTGTTGAATTTATCTTAGTGCTGCCAACGTTTTCAAGTGTACACAATTTCCCCCATATATTCAATAAATATTTCCCAATCTTCTTTAAACATATGTTCTTCTTGTTCTCTTATTCTGTATGTTAGGTCCGCAAGCTGCACATATTCCATCAGTTTAAGTTGCCATTCTTCTTTGTTTGAGACCTCACTCAACCAAAGAGAGCCAGTGTGGTGTAGTGGTTAAGAGCCGTAGTCTCGTAATCTGGTGAACCAGGTTTGCGTCTCTGCTCCTCCACATGCAGAGGAGTCACACTTGGGCCAGTCGCACTTCTCTGAAGTCTCTCAGCCCCACTCACCTCACAGTGTTTGTTGTGGGGGAGGAAGGGAAAGGAGAATGTTAGCCGCTTTGAGACTCCTTCAGGTAGTGATAAAGCGGGATATCAAATCCAAATCCAAACTCGTTTTCCATTTGGGGGCTACCAAACATGGGCCGCAGTGGTGGCATACATCAGGAGTCAGCAAACTTTTTCAGCCGTGGGCCAGTCCACGGTCCCTCAGACCTTGCGGGGGGCTGGACTATATTTTGACAAAAATAATAATGAACGAATTCCTATGCCCCACAAATAACCCAGAGATGCATTTTAAATAAAAGGACACATTCCATTCATGTAAAAACACCGAGGTTTGACTGTGTAGTTACTTATCTCCTTGCCCCTGTGGAGATGGTAGCACCAAAACAGCGCCTCCTGTCTTGCACTCTCTACAAAGACCTGAGGAACGAGATCACCACCCCACTCGTACTAACCATCCCTGGGTGCTCAGCCACTGCCACAATGTCCTTTCTTCTATCAGATCAAAATGAACAGATAACAGCAAAGGTTGCTAGGTTCATAGCAGGGGCAAGCAGAATAAGGGCCACTAACTGACGGCTGATTCAGGACTTTTAATTGTGCTTTTATATCAAATTCCCTTTTCTGCGTATACTGTAATACTGCATATGGGACCGCCTCTCCTGGTCTGCCCTGCAGAGGACCTTAAGGTCCATGAATAACCATAGTTTAGAGGTCCCAGGCCCTAAGGAAGTCAGACTATCCTCCACCAGGGCCTTCTCAGTGATGGCTCCGACCTGGTGGAATGCTCTGTCCCACGAGACTAGGGCCCTGCAGGATTCCGTCGGGCCTGTAAGACAGCTATTCCATCTGGCCTTTAATTTGAATCCAGCCTGATCTTTTATTTCCCTTCTTTTCCCTCCCCCTCCCCTTTTATGAAGATCACCCGCTCTGAGACCCCACAGCTAATTCTCCCCTGGTCTCCTCGCTGGCCCAAGTAGGACCAATTCAGCCAGCTAGCCCTGGGGATTATCTAATGCTTATTTCCCCTAAATTGATTTTGGAATTTTGTTGTTATTTGTGTTTTTATACTGTATTTTATGCTGCTTTTATAATTGTTTTAAAGTGTTTTAAATTTGTTGTTAGCCGCCCTGAGCCCGGTTTTTGAACTGGGAAGGGCGAGGTATAAATAAAAAAATATTATTATAATATTATTACAGTGGTACATCGGGTTAAGAACTTAATTCGTTCCGGAGGTCTGTTCTTAACCTGAAGCACCACTTTAGCTAATGGGGCCTCCTGCTGCCGCCGCGCCGCCAGACCTCGATTTCTGTTCTCATCCTGAAGCAAAGTTCTTAACCCGAGGTACTATTTCTGGGTTAGCGGAGTCTGTAACCTGAAGCGTCTGTAACCTGAAGCATATGTAACCTGAGGTACCAATGTATAGGTTCCTAGCAGGGGCAATCAGAATAAGGGCCACTAACTGGCGGCTGATTCAGGACTTTAAATTGTGCTCTTATATCAAATTTGGGGCTACCTTTGAAGATTAACTGCAATTAATCCAGAATGCGGCAGCTAGACTGGTGACTGGGGGCGGCCGCCGGGACCACATAACACCAGCCCTGAGAGATCTGCAGTATGTTTCCCAGCACCAATATGTTTCCCAGCACCATTCAAAGTGTTGGTGCTGACCTTGAAAGCCCTAAACGGCCTTGGTCCAGTATACCTGAAGGAGCGTCTCCACCCCCATCGTTCAGCCCGGACGCTGAGGTCCAGCTCCGAGGGCCTTCTGGCGGTTCCCTCATTGCGAGAAGCCAAGTTACCAGACAGAGGGCCTTCTTGGTAGTGGCGCCCACCCTGTGGAACCCTTCAGATGTGAATAAGCAGCTATCCTATCTTTAAAAGACATCTGAAGGCAGCCTTGTTCAGGGAAGTTTTTAATATTTAACGCTGTACTGTTTTTAAGACTTGATTGGGAGCCGCCCAGAGTGGCTGGGGAAACTCAGCCAGATGGGTGGGGTATAAATAATAAATTCTTCTTCTTCTTCTTCTTCTTCTTCTTCTTCTTCTTCTTCTTCTTCTTCTTCTTCTTCTTCTTCTTCTTCTTCTTCTTCTTCTTCTTCTTCTTCAATTTCCTTTTCTGCATATACTGTGATGTTTTACTGTTGTTGTGGCCATTGGCTAATGCGAATAAAGTTTTATCTCTCCCTCTCTCTGCATCTGGCTGCGCCGAGCAATTCGAAGAAGCGGAGGCGGAGAAGGTTTCCTTTGCGCACGAAGCGGAGAAGGTTCCCTTTGCGCCCAGGCGCGCCTCTGGGGAGTCCGCGCTGGCTCCCCATCCCTGGGATTCCCCCCCCCCACTCCCTCACCCCCCCCCTCTGTTGCAGGCGAGGCTGCCATCTCCTGCTGGCGGAGGAACTACACTTCCCAGCGTGCAGCGCTGGAGCGTAAATCTTCAAAGGCTAACAAAAGAGCAGCCGGCAAACCTGACAGGCGGAGGGCAGAGGCGGAGGAAGGAGGCGAGCCGGAGCGGGGCGCGCACCGCAGCTGGCCTCTCCGCGCCCCCCCCGCCCCGCCCTCCTCCCTGACAGCTGGGGGGCTTTTGGAGGGGGAGGAAGGGGGAGAAGGCGCCCCCCCTCCCGCCCCGGCCGCTGCAAAGGAAGCTCTGGAGGATGGCCGGAGGGAGCCTGGCTCAGGTAGGCCCTGGAGAGACCTCAGCATCGGGGGGGGGCTGATCTCTCCCCCCCCAACCTCACAACAAGGACCCTCCTGCAAAAGGGGCTCGGGGGGTGGCGGGGGGTGCAGGATCCGAATGCGCCTCCTCCTGCAGGGAGAATATCAAATTACAGCGAAAGGAAAGGGGGCCCCCTCTCCGTGCGTCCTGAGCCGCTGCCAGCCCCCCACCCGCAGCTATTTGGGGTTCTTAAAAGGCACGCAATGGGGGGGACCCCCACCCCACAGACTTCCTGCTTTTCCTACGGAGGAAACACCCGCCTCAACGCGTTTTTGGCACCGGGAGCAGAGCTGAAAATGACCCCCGAGCTGCGCTGCTCGGCCCCCGATTTAGGGTGCTCCGGAGAGGGGCGCAAATGCAGCCCCCGGGACCCCGGTCTTCCCGTCAAACTTCACGGGTGATGGATGGATCTGCGTTAGCAGCGAGGGGCGTTTGGATGAAATGAGACCCAAGGGGGCCGTTCGGAAGCGGAGACCCCCTTCCAGGCTAGGAGGCTGCACCCCAAAACCACGGATTTCATTTCCCTTTTGGGTAAAGACCACACACTCCACCGACCCACGCCACCATCTTCGAAGGAATCGGGTGCTTGACGGTGCCATAACCTGCAGGCAGGCCAGGGCAGAGGAGGGAGCTGGCAAAATGAGGCAGAGGGGTCTTCCTGGCATATTTCTCCCCCCAAATATCAGAAACTACCCCCCCAAAAAGGTCAGAGTTAATTCCCCAAAGCCCAGTGCAGGTTCTGCTCGAATATTATTGTTGATGGTCTGAGAAAGGGCCACCACCAGGGAGGAAAAATCAGCTGGGGAAAAAGCAGAGAAATATTGGGAAAGACTTTGGAAGCCCCCTCCCCTCGGAGTGGCCCTGTGACAGGTGTGCCCCCCGCCCTGCAGCGACCACAGACACCTTTTGTTTGTCCACAAGGTCAAGGCGGTCCCGGCAGGCCACTTGCGTGCCACACACCTGCCGGGGTGACGGGGACCGGGCTTTGTGGCAGAGCTACGCTTTCTATGCAGAAGGCTCCCTCCCCGATGGCATCGCCAGGTAGGACTGGAAATGCCCACCCCCTTGCCCAAAACGCCCCCCCAAAAAGAGAGGTGGAGAGAGACAGTGCTGAGCTTAGGCGGTGCTCCCAGGGCCTTTCTCCGTGCAGAAGTGGCTCTGTGGCAGGACAGTTGCCATGCATGCAGAACGCCCCAGACCCCGTCCCCAGGCAGGGCTAGGAAACCCGGTTCGCAGGCAGGCTGGCATTGAGCGAGAAAGGGCCGCAATCGGTGGCTTCTGCGGCCCCCGAAATACGCGGTCCTTCCTCCAGTATGGGATTTGGTGTGGCGGCGGTCTTCCCGAAACAGGGCCGGATCCTGCGGTGCTGAGAGAGGGGGCTTCTCCTCGTTGCAGGTGCCCGTGGCCTTTGAGGACGTGGTGGTCTATTTCTCGCGCGAGGAGTGGGCACAGCTGGCAGAATGGCAGAAGGAGCTATACCAAGACGTAATGGCAGAGAATTACGAGCTGGTCTCCTCACTGGGTAAAGTCGACATATATACTGGTTTTTTTTGGGGGAGGGGAGCTGGCCAGAAAGAGAGAGAGAGAGAGAGAGAGAGGGTTCAAATGACCCCAAAGGAGAGTAAACACGAGGAATCACAGAATTGTGGAGTTGGAAGGGACCCTCAGCGTATATCTAGTCCAACCCCAAATGCAATGCAGGAGTCCTGCCCACAGCCAGCGCAAACTACCGACCTTAGACGTGGCGATTCCTGCTTTGAAAGGGGGCTGGACTAGATGACCCCTGGGGTCCCTTCCAATTCTTTGACGTCCGGACAGAAAGAGCTGTTGGACGGGGGAACAGACTCCCAGGGAGGGGCGGCAGGCTCTCCTTCGTTGGAGGTTTTTAAGCAGAGGTTGGGGATTCAGAGACATGAGGACTGGAACCTTGCTCATTTCAATAGGAAGGGCTGCAGCTCAGAAGGTCCCAGCTTCCATCCTTTCCCCAGTTAGGGCTGGGAAGGCTCCTTGCCTGAAAGCCCAGAGGAGCTGCTGCAAGCCAGTGCAGACAATACTGTGCTAGATGGGCCAATGGGCCTGACTTTCTAGTTTAGGGAAAGGGTGAGGAAGAGCAGACGCGTTAGAAGAGGGGTGAAGTTTTTCCTCCTCTCTCCTGAAGCCAGAACTCGGGGGCATCCGAGGGAGCTGAAGGCTGGGAGATTCAGGAGAGGTTTTCGAAGCCCTTCGTCACACAGCACAGAGTTAAACTATGGAACTCCCTGCCACAGGGATGGCCACCAAGCTAGATGGCTTTAAAAGGGGATTAGGCAAATTCATAGAGGAGGAGCGGGCGATGGAGTGGCCGCCGGGACCATATAACACCGGTCTTGAAAGACCTACACTGGCTCCCAGTACGTTTCCGAGCACAATTCAAAGTGTTGGTGCTGACCTTGAAAGCCCTAAATGGCCTCGGTCCTGTATTCCTGAAGGAGCGTCTCCACCCCCATCGTTCTGCCCGGACACTGAGGTCCAGCTCCGAGGGCCGTCTGGTGGTTCCCTCATTGTGAGAAATGAGGTTACAGGGAACCAGGCAGAGGGCCTTCTCGGTGGTGGCGCCTGCCCTGTGAAACGCCCTCCCTTCAGATGTGAAGGAAATAAGCAGCTATTTTATCTTTAAAAGACATCTGAAGGCAGCCCTGTTTAGGGAAGTTTTTAATATTTAATGCTGTATAGTTTTTAATATTCAGTTGGAAGCCGCCCAGAGTGGCTGGGGAGACTCAGCCAGATGGGCAGGGTATAAATAATAAATTATTATTCTATACCAGCCAGGATGGCTCCTCTCTGCCTTCACAGCAGGAGACAGAGATGCTTCCGAATTTCAGCTGGTGGGAAACCCCATCAGGGGAGAGTTGCTCTTATGCTCCCATCTGGCTGGAGGGTTTCTGGGAGGCCCTGATCCAGGAGGGGTCTTCTAATGGAGGTCTTATTACGATAGCAGAACCTCCATACCCAGGAGCAGTCTACCTCGGAATAACCAGATAATGGGGGAACATTGCTGCCCTCAGGTGCTGCTTGGCCATTGTGGAGGGGGGCTCTTTTATGTTCTTCTACCCCCCTCAACTAACCCCCCGCCTCTGCTTCTGTCCTTTGCAGAATGCCTGCTCTCTATCCCTGAATTGCTCTCCCGGCTGGCGCGGGGAGAGGCGCCCCACCCTGCTGCAGACCCCCCACCCTCTGCGGGAAACGCCGACTCCCCAGGTAAGAGCATGAGACTCCTAATCTCAGGCTCGTGGGTTTGAGTCCCATGTCGGGCAAAAATAATTTTGCATTCCATGGGGTTGGACTAGATGACCCTCGGGGTCCCTTTCAACTCTACAGCACTAAGAATTCTAAGAAGGATGATTTTAAGAGTGGGGCAGGGAGGGGTCTAGCAAGGAATCACGGCAGGCTGCCCCATTGCAGCTCAGGGAGTAGAGCCTGATATGCATTATCGGGAATTTGTAAGATATAACGAAAGTTAATCTGCATAAAACTGCACCCCTCTGCAGCTGCCCAGTTGCGCTAAAGCAGGCATTGCAAAACTCGGCCCTCCAGATGTTTTGTTTTGTTTTTTTCAAAACGTTTTATTAATTAAAATTCAAAATGTTTTATTATTAAAACATACAAACAACACACACACACACACACACACACACACACATCCTGTTAGAATCATGGTAACATTATTAAATGACTTCCTCAAATCCCCTTGGTTGAATTTCATTATGTATCATTTTAACAGTTTTCCAAAATCAATTTTCTCAAAAAATTAACTTAATCACTTAACTTCTTTCTTTCTTTCATTCTTTCTAACATCTTAAATCCTATCCTTACATACTTAAATCCTAAGCTTATCTAGTATTTGCAAGCTTTTCCAATTAAGTTATCTTGACATATTTGGCTAAATAGTCTTTAAATTTCTTCCATTCTTCCTGGTGCTCCTCCTCCTTCTGGTCGAGGACTCTTCCAGTCAGTCCAGCTGTTTTGGGACTACAACTCCCATCGTCCCTGACCATTGGTCCCGTTAGCTAGGGGTGATGGGAGTTGTAGTCCCAAAACATCTGGAGGGCCGAGTTTGGGGGTGCCTGCCCTAAAGAAAGCACCGGCCCTGAACCTGAGAGAGATGTATAAACTTATGCACAGCATGAATAAAGGGGACAGAGAAGAGTTATTCTGCAGTCGTAGCAACACTTGGGACAGGCAGTGCAAGATGAATGCTGCAAGATTCAGGGCAGACCAAAAGAAAGGACTTTTTTTCTACACTCAGTGCTTAGCTAAAATTTGAAATTCACTCCCCACAAGACGTAGTGACGGCACCCCCTTGGGTGGTTTTAAAAGAGGGTGGGGTTAATTCATGGGGGAGAGGGCGATCGATGTCTCCTGGTAGCCCCAGGGGCCAAATATTGCTTCCTGAATAATGGTGACTGTGATTCACAAGTGGGGAGGGTGTTGCTGTTCCGCTCAGGTCCGGTTTGTGAGTTTAAGGACATAAGAGGCGGCTGCAGGATCGAGCCAATGGCCCACCTAGTCCAGCCCCCTGTTCTCGCAGTGGACAACCAGATGCCTGGGGGGAACCAGCAGGATTTGAACCCAGGAACCGCTCTCCCCAGATGTGGAGGCAGAGCAGAGCCGTCCTGGCTAAGAGCCATCAATGGCTTTATTGTCCTCCATGAATTTGTCTCACCCGCTTTTAAAGCCATCAGGGTTGGCGGCCATTCCTGCATCCTGTGCCGGCGAGTTCCGCAGATTAACGCTGCGCTGTGTGAAGGAGGACTTTATTTTATCTGTCATGAGCACCCCATAGAATAATAGAACTGTCGATCTGGAAGAGAGACTGAGGGTTCTCTAGTCCTGCAAAGCGGCAATCTCAGCACATGCTTCCCCATCCAATTTGAAACCAGGCCAGAGCCTGCTTAGCTTTGCAAATGTGCTGGCAGTTTTACTGCTGCACCGCTCCCCATGGGCGTAGCCCGGGGGCAGGGAGGGGCAGCTGCCACCCCAATAAATAAAAATCATAGCAAACTGAGGTTCTGTCCCCCTAACCAGGCTGAGGGCCTGCCCGCCCTCCCATCAGATGTCAAGGAAATAAACAACTATCTGACTTTTGGAAGACATCTGAAGGCAGCCCTGTTAGGGAAGTTTTTAATATTTGATGTTTTAATGTGCTTTTCATTCTGTCAGGAGCCGCCCAGAGTGGCTGGGGAAACTCAGCCAGATGGGCGGGGTATAGATAATAAATTATTATAACAAAAATCCTAGCCACACCCATGCCAAACCCCCTGTGGCTTCCAGGGCATGGGTCCCCTTCTTGGGCCTGATCCAGCTAAAGAGCTCCCCTTCTTATCCCCTCCTACATTCCTACTCAACGTAGGGCTGTCCTTCTCAACAACAACAACAATTTCATTATTTGTACCCTGCCCATCTGCCTGTGTTGCGCAAGCCACTCTGGGCGGCTTCCAACATATATAAAAATATAATAATGCATTAAACATTTAAAAACTTCCCTGTACAGGGGCTGCCTTAAAATGTCTTCTAAAAGCTGTATACTTCCTTATCTCCTTGGCTCAGGGGTTGGATAACTCCATACCCTCCAACATTTCTCCAATTAAAATAGGGATGTCCGGAGCTGTGGTCTAAACCGCAGAGCCTCTTTTTAATTTTTTTTAATTTTTATTGAATTTTACAAGAAAAGAAAAAGAGAAAGAGAAACAAAGAACAATGCATAACACTGTAAACACATTTATATACATGTTTTCCAAAATGCAGACTAAAAAAAAAGATAAAACACAAAAGAAAAGGGAAAAAAACTTTTCATAACCAATAATATTACCAAATTCATTCTTCAAACTTTACAATATATAAATCCTAGTTAAAATATGATAAAAGACTTCCACTGCACGTCTCTTAGTTATCTTGCTTGCCTTTGCATCTGTCTTCAATCATTTCCCTTCCTTGGGTTCTTTCATAATCAGTCTAATCTTTATGTTCTCTATATTTTTCACAAGGTTATTCTGAGCACAACCAAACTTTTGTATTTGAGCCCTGCTTGTATAAATATTCATTTAAGCATTCCCATTGTTTCTGAATTATAGTTTTGGATGGATTAAATAAGGCATAAACCACAGAGCCTCTTGGGCTTGCCGATCAGAAGGTCGGCGGTTCGAATCCCCGTGACGGGGTGAGCTCCCGTTGCTCAGTCCCTGCTCCTGCCAACGTAGCAGTTCAAAAGCACGTCAAAGTGCGAGTAGATAAATAGGTACCACTCCGGCGGGAAGGTAAACGGCGTTTCCGTGCGCTGCTCTGGTTCGCCAGAAGCGGCTTAGTCCTGCTGGCCACATGACCTGGAAGCTGTATGCCGGCTCCCTCGGCCAGCAAAGCGAGATGAGCACCGTAACACCAGAGTCAGCCACGACTGGACCTAATAGTCAGGGGTCCCTTTACCTTTACCTTTTAAGACAAAGCGGGACATTCCGTGATCAAATGAGAAACTCAGGAATGTCCCTGGAAAACAGGGGCACTTGGAGGGTCTGCCTTCTGCTTTTAGAGAAGACCAGGCGATGGAACGATGTAAGTGTCCCCTTTGGAGGTGTCCAGATTAATGCCCACATTTCCCCTCTCTCCTGTTTCCTTCCTGCAGCTGACGTGATCGAGACGCAGCCCCAAAAGGCGCCGGACACCCCAGTGGCCTCCAAGGGACCCGCTCCAGACTCGGCAAAGACCCCCCGCCCTCGGGCCGCCAAGAAGGGCCCCAAGAGAGGGGCGTCGCAGGCCACGCGGGGGCCCTCGGAGGCTGGCCGGGACCCTGCAGACCAGTCGAAGACCCCCAAGAGGGAGAAGCCTTTCAAGTGCCCCAAGTGCCAGCGCCGTTTCCTGGGCCGCCTGGCGCTGACCGCACACCGGCGCCTGCACGTCCGCAAGTGGCCCCGGCCGGGCCCCCAGAGCGCGGGAAGGGCCCCCCAGGCGCCGGAGCTCGCCGTGCCCCAGGAAGGCCAGCCGGGTGCCAGCCCCAGCCCTTTCCCCTGCAGCCAGGGCGAGGGCACCCTGCCCTTCTGGCCGGAGATGGCTCTGCACCAGCAGTCTCCTCTGACGCATGGCTTCAACCCCTGGTCGCTGGGCTACGGTCCCCAGCCCTTGCCTGGCCACCAGGCGCCCGGCCTGCCCAGCAACGGGGAGTTCATCTGCGACCAGTGTGGCTGGAGCTTCCACGGCTGGGAGGAGCTGGTGACGCACCAGATGGCGCACATGGCGGCCGAGGGCATCGCCGGCTCCGTGCCCAAAGCGGGAGCCCTGGCGCAGCTGTCGGGCGACCGCCCTTACGCCTGTGCCCAGTGCGGCAAGAGCTTCCGCCACAAGCCTAACCTGCTGGCGCATCGGCAGGTGCACACGGGCGAGCGCCGCTACCAGTGCCAGGAGTGCGGCAAGTCCTTCGGCAGCAAGGCCTACCTGGCGTCGCACCAGCACATCCACACCGGCGAGAAGCCCTACGTGTGCGCCCAGTGCGGCAAGAGCTTCCGCCACAAGCCCAACCTCATCTCCCACCAGAAGATCCACACCAGGGAGCCCCTGCCGCCCAGCCACCCGCTGGACGCCTTCGAGGGAGACGCCTTCCAGAACCCACGCACCGCGGCAGATGCCCTCGGGCTGGACGCCTTCCGCCGGCCCTTGCCGCTGCCGCCAGTGCCACCGGTGCCAACCGATGCCCGCCTGGCCTGCGCGCAGGGCGACACCCCTCTGCCGCCACTACCCGGCGTGCTGCCGCCCCCTCCCGCAGCAATGGCCGAGCGCCCCTTTGTGTGCCCCGTCTGCGCCAAGCAGTTCCGCTGCAAGCCCTACCTGGTGGCGCACATCCGCATCCACACGGGCGAGAAGCCCTACGCCTGCAGCCGCTGCCCCAAGCGCTTCTCGCAGAAGTCCAACCTGGTGTCTCACGAGCGCCTGCACACGGGGGAGAAGCCCTACGCCTGCCCGCTCTGCCCCAGGGTCTTCAGCCAGGGCTCCAACATGCGCGCCCACCAGAGGAGCCACAGGAACGTGGCCGCCCCGGGAGAGACGGGCGTCAGCCTCCGACAGGGGTATGTGGTGAGGCAGATCCAGCCGCCCCCACCGCCTCCGCCAAACTAGGCCTCTGGGGCCTGCTCCTCCATAGCTGGGCTGGCCGCTGCCTCTTGGCCCTCCGCCCTCCCTGCCTGCCCGGGAATCGTTCCTGCATTGCAGCGGGGTTGGGCTGGATGACCTCCGGGGTGTCCCAACACTCCAGATCTACGACACAACCACGTTTTCCTGCGGCCGCGTGAACTGGGCAAAGGCTGTGGTGCCCTTCCGTCCCTTGGTGAGTCTGCAGATTTCCCACCAGAAAGAGGTCCTCTCCTCTCGCTGCCCCCACCCTGCCTTAACTTCGGAATTTCGCTTTGGCAAACTTTGCCCCGTCCTGAGAAATGAAACAAGGCAGGAAGGACCCCAGACTTTCTTTTCTGGAAGGAGAGTCGCCATGGGTCTGGCCTCCTGGGAGTATTTTCCTGCTGTCCTGGAGAGGCTGCTGAGGACGTGTTTGGCGACTCCGTCTTCTTTCTGACGGAGAAGGGAGCACGTGGCTTAAAAGGGAGCAGGGGTCCCCAGGTGGGGCGCAGGATTTGCAGCCTCAGTCCCCGATATCTCCACTGAAATGGATCTGACTCTGGGGAGGGGGCGGCTCTCGGCTCTGGTCCTGTGGGCTGAGTTCGAATTGGGGGGCTTCCTTTGCTCGGTGTCTCCAGCAGCGGCAGCAAGCCGACTGAGATCGAGAGCGGAAGACTTGGGAACGTTAGAAGATAAGAGAAGCCTACTGGATCAGGCCAACTTCCCATCTAGCACAGCATCCCCTTCTCACAGCGGCTGACCAGAGCAAGCAGGTCCAGAGGGCAGCAACTCCCTCCAATTGTTGTCCCCCATTACAGTGGTACCTCGGGTTACAGACGCTTCAGGTTACAGACTCCGCTAACCCAGAAATAGTACCTTGGCTTAAGAACTTTGCTTCGGGATGAGAACAGAAATCGTGCTCTGGCGGGGCAGCAGCAGCAGCAGGAGGCCCCATTAGCTAAAGTGGTGCTTCAGGTTAAGAACAGTTTCAGGTTAAGTGCGGACCTCCGGAACGAATTAAGTACTTAACCCAAGGTACCACTGTATCTGGTTATGCAGAGGTAGACTGCCCCTGGGCATGGAGGTTCCGCTGTCCATATGAAGCCCTCCTACTGTTTCCGGCAGCGATGGCCACTAAATGCTTGGGGGGAGAGGCTCCAGCAGTGGTGGTACAGCAGAACCATCCTGGCTCTCTCCTCCTCCTCTTCCAAGAATTTGTCTAATCCCATTTTAAAGCCATCTAGGTTGGCGACTGTCGCCGTCCCCTGAGGGAGGGAGTTCCGCAGATTAACTACGAGAGTCGAGGGACTGCAGAGGCCCTGCAGCCAACAAAAGCCAGCCTGAGCTCTAAAAATAAAATAAAAAATCCGGACCTTTGCTGCTTCTTTGCAGACGGACGGTTTCCGTGAACGGCAGAATTTGGGGCAGGGATGTGCCTGTGGACAGAGAGCGAGGGAGCGAGAAAAAGGACTCTCATCCACACAGCATGATAGGTTTTTAAAATAATTAGAAGCAGGCCTGTCTTGTCGTGACTTTGGGGGAAATTCCACGCAGAAGCAGGCAAGATTCTTTTGGTTTGTTTTCCCCCCTTTTAGGATTGCTGCTTAATTTTTTAGAAAATAAGCAGGTGGCTAGTCCTCATTCCTGGCGAGACATGATCCGAAGATGTGTGTGTCGTCTCTGCACGAGGTTCAAAATCCACACGGAGGAGGAGCTGCCGGCCGGTCTTGCATGGTGACCTGTTCCTCTCGCCTGACTTCCAAGTCCTGTTCTCCTACCTCTGTCCTCAAAGCCTCCTTCAACTTTTTACCTTCTGCTTCTGGAGCACTGCATGCAAACGGAGCAAGGGGGAAAAGCTTCTCTGCATCTATTTGCTTAATTCGGCATTATTTATACCCAGGGCAGGCTATGGGATTGGGTCGTGTGTGTGTGCGTGTGTGCAAGACTTGTGGACAAGGAGACCACAGCCTAAACTCCTAATGCTAACTTTAAGAAAATAATGCAAGGAAGTAACACTGCCCTTTCTAGGTGCCCTGTTTTAGACACAAGCCAGTTTCATTTTCAAGCGGTTTCCTATTGTATACTCTTTTAAAATGAATAAAGCGGTAGATGTTACTTTTAAAAACACAGTTCCTTGCAGTGTGTCGACTGTGGCCACGTGGACTCACACTTTCTTCCCAAACCAGTTGAATTCAAGCCACGTCGGGGGCCTTGCAGATTAAATGGACTGCAATTCCCTTCAGCTCCTTCCAGCGTGGTCAAATGTTGTGGAGCTGATAGGAGTTGCAGAGTCCAGCAACATCTGGACTACTGCAATGCGCTCTACGTGGGGCTACCTTTGAAGGTGACCCAGAAAACTACAACTAATCCCAGAATGCGGCAGCTAGACTGGGGACGGGGAGCGGCCGCCGAGACCACATAACACCGGTCCTGAAAGACCTTCATTGGCTCCCAGGACGTTTCCAAGCACAATTCAAAGTGTTGGTGCTGACCTTTTAAAGCCCTAAATGGCCTCAAAGGCCCAGTAGACTTGAAGGAGCGTTTCCACCCCCATCATTCTGCCCGGACACTGAGGTCCAGCTCTGAGGGCCTTCTGGCAGTTCCCTCCCTGCGAGAAGCCAGGTTACAGGGAACCAGGCAGAGGGCCTTCTTGGTAGTGGTGCCCACCCTGTGGAATGCCCTCCCATCAGATGTCAAAGAGAACAACAACTACCAGACTTTTAGAAGACATCTGAAAGCCAGCCCTGGTTAGGAAAGCTTTTAATGTTTGATGCATTACTGTATTTTAATATTTTGTTGGAAGCCGCCCAGAGTGGCTGGGGAAACCCAGCCAGATGGGCGGGGTATAAATAATAAATTATTATTATTATTAGGTTCCCTCTGAATTAAAGGGAATGCCCCCAAACCCACCACGAAAATGGCAGAAGGACGTCTTTTTAACAGGAGGAAATACAGCAATGAGGGGGTGTGAGCTTCCGGGTTACACAGCATTCTTCATACAGATTCGCAATAACCTGGATCACTCCCGTGGGTCAAGTTTATCTGTACGGTGGCACTAAAAGTCTGTGTACAGGTAGCCTTCTTTCCAATACATTGGTACCTTGGTTCTCAAACTTAATCCGTTCCGGAAGTCCATTCCAAAACCAAAGTGTTCCAAAACCAAGGCGCACTTTCCCATAGAAAGGAATGCAAAACGGATTAATCCGTTCCAGACTTTTAAAATAAGGTTACCAGATTTTTTTCAATGAATCCGGGGACACTTTTCAACTTCAATGGATTTTGCCAGGGGACTGATTGGTAAATCTGGGGACTGTCCCCGGGTAACCTTATTTTAAAAACAACCCCTAAAACAGCAATTTAACATGATTTTTGCTATCTAACGAGAACACTGATTCATAAAATGAAAGCAATAAACACTCTACTGCAGTCACACAATCAATCAGGAACTGAACTGGGTTTCACACAGTCACAAAAACAAAACAAGAAAGCCGCAAAAACAAAACCGCAAAATAAATAGCAAAATCAAACAGACCTCAGCGTAACACTCAAATCGTCAGCCTAACTCTCAAAAAGGAGCACGTTCAGCCTCTGAAAAAAGTTCACAAACTGGAACACTTACTTCTGGGTTTGCAGTGTTTGGGTTCCAAGTTGTTTGAGTACCAAGGCGTTTGAGAACCAAGGTACGATAAATATCCTTTGCATTAATGCCAGCGTTCTTACGAAGCCCACAGTCTCCTTCCTGCTAAAGAATGCTGTGTAGCACAGAGGCTGATCGTGAGAATACCTGGCATCGATGTTGTGTATGTCAGTGCCAGCCCACATTTCTTCAACAGAAATCAGCCCGGACTACTTTGGGGTTTGCGGGTTCTCCATCCAGACATAATTATTACCATCATCGTTATTAATTTAATTATTTAATTAGTCTACTGCCCTTCATCTGAACAGTCCACATCAGGAAAATACAAAATGAGAATGCAGAATGCCTTCTTAGCCCCACCTGAGCAGACGGGAGCTGCAAGCTGAGAAAAGGTGATCTCTCCCAAGGCCCTGTGAGTCTGAGTTCATGGCAGAGGCAAGATTTGAACAGGGGGCTTCCTGGGTTGCAGACCCCTCACTCTTGGAGGTCTGACTAAAGGGAGTCCAGCCCCATTGATCCAGAAGGCCCTAGCTCAGTGGCAGAGAGCATCTGTTTGCGAGGCAGAAGGTCCCAGGGAGAGAATCCTGCCTGGACCCCGGAGAGCTGCTGCCAGCCAGTGCAGACTCCATTGCTCTCCAGCCTTGAGTCCCCAGATGTGGTTGGAGTAGAACTCCCATTGCTCTGACCATTGGTCATGCTGGCTGGGGACGATGGGGCTTTCAGACCCACAACACCTGGGGCAACAGGGTTCAAGGACGCAGGCGTGCAGACAGCATTGTGGGGGTTTCTAAAGAGAGGTTGTCAAGGATTCCTTAGCTGCGATTCCAACATTGCAGCGGGTCGAACTAGATGACCCTTGGGGGTCCCAACTTCACAATTCTATTTTTAAAAGTTATTAAAAATAATATTAAAAGTTATTAAAAGTTATTTAAAAAAGTTATTAAAATAATAACAATCTGCGAGAAATCTATCTATCTATCTATCTATCTATCTATCTATCTATCTATCTATCTATCTATCTAATCTATCTATCTATCATCATCATCATCTCCTACGCCTTTCGCGATTCTGCTCCTTCTATTCAGTTTCACTTTCCGCTGGACGCGCAGGGGTTAAAGCCTTGACCTGCGGAGGAGGGGGAGGAGCGAGCTGCACAAGCCACCTTCCTATTGGCCTTCCCTTTCTCCAATGGCGCCGGCCCGGCTGTGCGCCGCAGCCAATCGCAGGCGCCGCCTTGTGCTCCCTGCGCGCCGGCGTCCTTTCTCTTCTCTCGCTTCTGCGCGAAGCCTTTCCTCCGCGGTCCCGCCCTCCGGAGGGATGAGATTGGCAGGCGCTGCGCCCAATCATTGCAGCGGAGCTGCTTAAGGTGGCATTGCATTCTCTTCGGCCAGTGCAAACAGAGGAGCCAGCTGGTTGCAGAAGGCGGGGATTGCCTTGCAGAGCCCAAGTCACCAGGTAGGAGCATTTTTGGGGGGGTTGGCATGCTCAGCGCTGCAGATCCACTGGATCCCAGCAGGATCCCGGGATCTGTTGGGAGGGATCCAAGGAGAAACCCCCGGAGCCTTTTGCTGGCTGCCTGAAGGGAGCCTGCCATGCCCAGGCGCGCAGCTGAGCCAAGCGGGTGCTCTCGGCCTTTGGCTCCCGGGTCCCCGGCGACTTCCTCTGGTTGGGGCATTTGCAGATTCGTTGCAGCTGCCAGATCCAAGAGGGGTAGCCTCCTCTCCGGGCTCAGCTGGCACCGATGAGTGTGGGCTGCCAGCCCGTGCAGGAGGCGGAGGAGATCGTGCCCAGCTGGCAGCCTACAGAGGCAGACCGTGTGGGTCCACCTAGCTCAGGGCCGCCGCCTCTGACCGGCAGCATTTCAGGCAGGGGAGTCTCCACCCCCCCAAACCTGGACATACTACAGGAATTCGAACTCAGAACCTTCTGCATGCTAAGCAACTGCTACCACCAACTCTCCCTAATAAGAATATAAGAATATAATATACGGTAACAATAATAATATAATATAATATAATATAATATAATATAATAATAATATAGGAAGCAGCCTTATGCAGAGCCATATCATTCCTCTGCCGAGTTCAGTATTGTCTGCACTGGCGGGCAGCAGCACCAGAGCTTCATGCAGGATGCTGTGTATCTGCCACAAATAAAAAAGGCCCTCCCCCTGCCCAAAGCAGTTTTTCATTAGAGCTGGGAAACCCTCTTGCTTACGCTGTCAA